GACTAGTTTAAAGTTATCTTCATTGAAAAGTACAGTGCTTTTCCTTCAAAAATAAGGACATTTCAACGTGACTTTTGAACGGTAGTGTATATAAACATTTTGCAGTTTAGATGAAGAAAAAAAATTTTCGTCCGTCATTTTACGCCATTGTGGGACAATAAAGGTATTTTTTTCTATTGCCTAACCTTTTCTATTCTAATCTGCTCTATCCAGAACTCTAGAACATTTGTAGGAGGTATGCAAGTGATCAAAAACAGTAACTTGCCCCATAAAGGGCTTTAGGGAACCTTTGGCTATCCGATTGTTAATTGCAAAAATAATCTACAGATTAATTGATTTGCAAAATAATCGTTAGTCGCAGCCCTTAATACAGTCTCCCTCTTTCTATTGCATGTAGGTAATTTTTATTATTATGTTTTTATCAATCAGTCATTTGAGAACCTGAATCGCCTCAAAGCTCAGCTCTGTAATACAGCCTGGATTTCAGTCTCCACTGTTAATCATTGATTCCTTCTTGATCTTTTCCTCTCCAGAGGAGACCATGGGGATTTCTGTGTCCCTCACCTCCAAGCAAACTCCCCTCATTAACGAGGACACCTTGTCTTCTCCTGTGGAGGACGGACAGACGGAGGCAGGCAGGGTGTCTGACGTCTCCCAATTTCCCTACGTGGAATTCACTGGAAGAGACAGCGTGACGTGTGCGACGTGTCAGGGAACCGGCAGGATCCCCAGAGGTAACCCCGAAGCTATTTCAACCTGTGGCCACATCTACGAAAAATGGCCGTAGTTACAGGTTGCTTCCTGTTTTCCAGGACAGGAGAATCAGCTGGTTGCGTTGATCCCATACAGCGATCAGAGACTGCGGCCCAGAAGGACGTAAGTTTTCCCCTCCGTTGGTGTTTCTAATCTGAAGTTTGTTAGAACAGAAAAACTTAAACTGAAACTGATGAAAATGCAGTGGATGCTGGCGTCCCAATAAAACTCTGTTTATATGTATAATTAATACAACTATTCCTCATTTGTGCACATTAATTATATTTTTTAATAAAAATCCTTTGGCTAAAATGCCATCAGAACTAATTATATTTCAGTGTCCTCCATATTGGATCAGTCCATTTGCTGCACATGCTCAGAAAGGTCCAAACAGACAGCAGCAAACCATTTGAAAACAAACCATGCAAAGAGCAGTGTTGCCAACTTAGCGCTTTTATTGGAAAATACTCACCTTTTAGTGCAAACTGTTCCCACCGTGACTTAACAAACAAGTCCGTCCGTTAGCCACGCCCACTTCACATTTAAAGCCACATATGGAGTTAAAGAATTCCAGCTATCTGTGGAAATATCTGCTACTGAATGAGGAACGGAAGAAATCATTTGGATCCAGATCTTTTCAGCAGAACCTGAATGTTCCTGAATGTT